ACACACACACACACACACACACACACTACTACACACACACACACACACACACACACACACACACACACACACACACACACATTGGGTGCTCATGTATACGCATAAAGCTGTGCTTGAGTGCATACAGCTGTATGGTTTCAATGGTGTATGTGTATATACGGTGCATAGAATTGAATGCAGACGGTTGTTATTGCGCGTTGACTATGTCCGTGTGTCTGCGACACGTGGACCAGGCGTACAGTTCAAGTGAAATATATGCGCAAATATATTTCATTGCGAAAGTTTGGGCCATTCTGAGTACTGCTGCCACACCCATACATGTCCTCCGTGTACTTATTCATATGTCGTTCACCGAGACGTTGTTGTGTATCTGTGCGTTGACATGTATCACGCGTACCTGGCATGTAACCCTTCAGGAAATGCACTGGAAAGGTGTGCGATAAAGTGTACGTCAGCAAAGTGCTGATAAAGTATGCGAATAAGGGTGGGATTAGTGGGCGATCGGGTTTTAGTTGCAGATCTTAATCCACAGTTGTCACGTATATGTATGTCTGTGCTTGTGTATGCGTGTGGCCTGTGCATGTGCACAGTGGCAGTTATGAATTGCCTCTGCCTTACGATACAAGTATGCAGGGAATATATTAACTAGGTCATATATTGTCTAGCACACCTTAGCTATCTGAACGTGATTCTAACAGCATCAAGAATTGTCACTTTTGGTAGAACGATACGCTAGTTGTGAGTGATGGTATGGATTGTCGCTGCGTGCAGATAGAGCTATCGATAGATAGAAAAGGTCTTGTTTGTCAAGTACATCGTAACGGAATATAGTTGATTCTAGCAGCATTAAGTACCGCCACGTTTGGTAGATCGAGACGCGAGAGTATAAACGCAATTCCATTGGTTGTCAACCACACTATACGTTTACACAGTAATCTCATTGGAGGTACACATGCACACATTCCTCAGATGGAACAATCTTTTGATTGTCAACAAGTACTCAGAGGCGGAATACTTACTATACCATAGGCCTGTCTGATTAAACACCCATGTCATTCTATAATCGATTTAATTTCTCTCATACCAGGCATATTCTGGCAGGTTAGATAGGCCTATCTGTACTACGATACGCGGTATTAACCAGACAGAAGGTACAATCGAGTCGTAGGCATTTCTGTTAAGTTTCTTGTCATCTATCATCGATTCTCATGCATATATACAAGTTAGGGCTGACGAGATAGATCTAGTGGTGCAAATTAGGGCTGACGAGATAGTTCTAATAGTGCAATAGTATACGGAAGTACACAAACAGCAAGTACAAAGGCACATCTACCAAGCATACATGATACTATACTATGTTTTTGATTCTGATGCCATTGCATACCTACATATCAGGGCTGGTGAGATCGACCTCATGGCGCAGCAATACACGGAAGTGACCAAGAATCAAGTACAAGCACAATCACAACCAGTGCAAATACAAGCAGAACCCAAGGCCGGTAAAGCCGATGCCACAAAGGAAGATACACAAGCAGTTCAACCGACGAAACCCTGGTGGATGGGCTTAAGGTGTCCGTTCGAAGCGGCCTGTGATGTCGAGTACAGGTAAGTACTTTAGTTTCGGGGTAACTGTTCAAAACGTATACACATGGCCCTTTGGAGTCAGGGATTGTGGACGCATAAAACACCCGGGGGGAGGGGTAACATTACTGTTCTGTCCCGTCTTTCAGAGGGTCACGTTACATGTTGATGGGCATATACTAAGGAAAGCATACCTGTACATGCATATAACATCATATATGTATTTATACCAGAAAACTGCGCAACGGGTGTAACTGATAGAACTCGGGGGCGCTGGACGTCCCCCTGAGAGATATGACACGGCGAGATACACTGTAGGCTAGGCTTGTATTACAAAATATGAAGCATGTATATATTTGTTGTAGATGTGCTCTAACATAAGGCAAATGTATATGCATGCGCACAATCTATTGCAAGTCTGTATCGTTGGAACCTCTTTTCTTACCTTGCCTTTGCGACATTTCTATGAATGAACCTGACATATGCGCCAGAAGGCTTATAGATTGTAGATCAAGTTTATTCATCATTGTTTTCGACATATCTATGTCTATACATGATATCTACGCCAGTACGCTTATAGATTGTAAATCGAGGGTTTTTACGCATTTGAAAAATCTCTTAAGACTAAACCTGAAAGATTATACTTTTTACTCATAAATTGTAGATCGAGGATTCTTCTTATTTGCGACATATTTTAAGCTTTAACCTGGAATGTGCGGCATTCTGATTGTATATCTTATTTGCGACATCTCTTTAGGTCTAAACTTTAAATATCCGACATTTTGATTGTGTATCTATACGCGACATCCCTCAAGTCTTAAACCTGAAGTATGCGGTTTTTTGATGGTATATCTTATTTGCAACATCTCTATGTCGAAATCCTGAATTGTGCGCCGTTATGCTATAGATTAGAGATCGAGGAATTTGAGAGCATAGACGCGCACGTGTACGGCTCTGGGCATATCAGTGCAAACGACATGTTGCGGGAACATAACTACTGGAAGAACAGATACATTAACATGAAGGTATGCGAATGTCATTGGTTGAAATCGATACATACTGTAGAGATATTTTCTAGGGAAATTTAAGATATGTATACATATCTCGTGATTGTATAAGTGTCTTCCCATGTTACACCGCGTGGTACGATGTATAACAAATACGTGATAGTGTGCTATATGTGTCAGTATGTATATAACGATCTATGTTGTAGGTTTTTGTTTATTATAACCTTACAGATATGTATATTTGTCGTGGTTATATGTGCATGACTTCCCATGTTAGACTACGTGGTAGGATGTATAACAAATGATCGATAGTGTGCTAATATATGTAAGTTTGTATATATAGTATCGAGCCCATTCGGCCTCGATAACATTGCTACATCTTGCTTCTCACATGTTGAACGGCATGATTTCAGCTGCACCCTGCGACATATATGTCACCACAACTGAGCCAGGGTTGGGTTGGTTGAGGGTGTTAACCACTCGTATATTGATGAATATATGCACGCACACACACACAAACACACACACATATATATTTGTATATGTACACACACACAAACACACACACACACACACACACACACACACACACACACACACACACATATATATATATATATTATTACTCACACACACACACACACTACA